TTAACTTTCTCTCTCCGAGAAACTCTGTTCAAACTTCAAAGCGAGACAACATATATCTGGACTTTTTACACTAAGTTTCCGTGATACGAATTGTGACATTTCAGCAAGTCACAAGTAGCGAGAATTGCAACGCTATAAATTCGAGACGATCTCTTCTTAAAACCACGATAATAAAAAAAAGTAAGGTTCTAAAAAGAAACGGGTCGATACCAATAGCAGTGTGACCTACTTTTTTGAAGAAACTGAGGAAAATCATTTCAAAGTTTGAAAGAAAACAGAATTTAATTTTTTTGTGTTTTTTTGATCGTTGTAAAGTAAATTATTAAAACTGATTATTCTAATGATTATTAAATATTTTTGAAATAACTGAAATATAATTTCCATAAATATGCAATAATACATTTTATAAAAATAAAAAAGGTATGAAAATAAAATAAAATAATATAAAAGAATGTGTAAACTACATTTTGGATTTTTCCGAAATAATTCCGGAATACATTCCTTCTCGATACGTAAAACTTTCGGAATGTATTTAATTTCCAGAGAAATGCTGCCAATTCGAAATACTTTTCAGTGGTATTTTACAACATCATCTCGATCCTAGAGATATCAAGATATCTTTAACTGCGAACGAATATTTTAACAAATATTTTTATCTTTATAAAATCTTCACTGTAAAATTCTTCTCAACCATGAATATTATATTTAATCTCTACCTAATTATAATATACTCCTTTTTTCACGGATAAATGAAATTTTTAATACGTGTTAGCAAAAATTTTCTCCGATATTCCTGATAACGCTAGGTCGCAGTGGATAGTATCCGGCCATCGTTAGCCGATTTCCTTGTGCATCCTGACCTACCTTCCGTGCACACGAAATCAACCACCCTTTTCAAGAGCTCCTCGAGAGGCGAGACTAAACGAGAAGGCGCCTCGCATGTTTCCCGTAATGGACCGCACGCTACGGTAGAATTTTTATTATCGAAAACCGATATCCGCATTCCCTTCGACCGTTCGATCGTCCGTTCGTTCGTTCGTTCGAACTTACCTGCATGCCATGTCTATCATGTATTGTTCGAGATTGCGCTTTCTCGGATAATGCAGTATTTCAGTTTCTACCGGACGTTGAAAGGGGAGACACGTGCGATGCGCTGAGAAAAATGATCCGGGGAACGATCACCGTGATGGATCCGTACGATCGATAACGTTCGTCCTGAATATCAACAATCCGCGAGTTTGAAATACAAATCGACCATCGCACCAGTGATCGTCACCAGTCGAAGCAAGAACGGAGAATGAGAATAATGGCCATTTGCGAAATCATTAGATTTAATAGAAAAGCATTAAAAAGTATAATAATCTATAATAATTAGGTTTCTTTGCTTCAAGAAAATTACTATATTAAAGTTGAAAACACAGTTGAGAAACAAAGTTGAGAAATTTAGATAAAATTTTCTGAAATCCTTCAAAGAAAAGAATAAATTGTAGAGAAAAACTTTGATTTTAACTTCATGTTCTAATTCTACTTTGGAGATATTAAAAAAATGGAAATTAAATTAATATTAATAATATTATCATAAGAAACAATCATATTTAAATTCAATTCCAGGAATTGAATTGATCCGATATTAAAACTCGAATATAAAACAGAAAAAGATAGAGAATATTCTATATTACATCAATTTTTTAAATTTTAATTTTAAATTCTTAAAACAATTTTCTTCTTTTATACATTTATATATATAAATAATATATTGTATATATTGTATATAATATATTGTATATAATATATGTATATTGTATGTATTATATATTGTATATATTATATTACATATTATATATTATACATTTATATTCCCTTTCTATTCTTTATTCATCTATTTTTATTACATCTTCAATGCAATTTGTGCTGTTACCATTGTAATATATCAAAGGTGAAGAGGATCATCTATTCAGTGCTCGGATATTCACGAGGAAAAGAACGTCATCGATTTAATTCGCCTCGTCTGAAAATCGAATATCGATGGCAGGCACGAAGAACCGTCGTGAAATTGTCGTCGAGGACGATTTTTTCCGACGTCACGTTGCCGGCTTACAAGAAAGGGGCGTGCTACTGTGCTTTTCGTCATCGCTCTTCGTCAGTCGGAAACCCGCGTAATTCTCGCGAAATCCCGACATTCCCTCTCGAATCGAATTGCCCGATTTACCTCCCCGCTCGTCCGCGCGGCGAACGGTATCTCTCGTTTCTCTCTCATCGATCTCGGCCGATCCCCGAGCGTGGATAAGAGAAATCGTAGTTAACCCTCTTCTTCCCCCTCGAGATATATGTTGACGTAGCGATACAACGTACGCCCGACTTCGGATCCACCTTGGAACTTTACGTCTGATGGATGCGGGTATTGTTATCGGTTGTATACATAGCTCGAGCGAAGGTGGATGACGTTATTTTATCCACGAGAGAAGACGAATATATATTGTGGGAATAAGATTGCATCAAAGGAACATAAACATCGTGCGCGATGAATAAAATTTCTCGTACCGCTGGATATTCGATATTGAGATATTGTAAAACTACATCCACTTAATCTTTTCGAGTTTCCTGCAGCTATTCTAGCCATTTCCTCACTCTCAGCTCGAGCGAGTTCGTTAAAATCGTATCGCTGAGACTTCGAGGGGAAAATTCACCGCGACTCGCACGTGTCCCTTCTTAATTCCGATAGTACCGGGGGAAGATGGCAAGAAAAAACCGTCAAACGGGGATGCCGGGGATGCTCACTCACCAGACTATCCCCTGCGCGCCCGATCCGATAGGCTTGAGATTTTGGTAGCGCTTCAGGATGGTGAACTTGGTGTCCCCGACCTCGACCGTGTAAAACATGGCGGATAGCCGGGTTGTCATGTCAGGCCCCAGGTAAGGCATGCGCCTCGGTGTTCGTCTCTCCTGCTGCTGCTGCACCTGCGCCGCCGCCTGCACCTGCACACCGTCCACCCCGCTGGAGCACTCTTGGTGCGCTCGACGGGGACTTACGCTCTTAGCCACTTTGGACGCGAGATTTTCAGTGCACCCACGGAATAGTTGCGGTGACAATGCAGGTGGGTGTTCCCGTTGTGCCGCGCTGCACCTGCGAGTGCCAGGTCAGACCGCTCCTGCGGCAGGTCGCGCCTCAGCACGTTGCTGCCCGATGAGTCCCTATGATACGTGCCTCCGAATTGTCTGCAATAAAAGGATCGAGCAAAAATTCGTATAAATTTGTCCGTATAAATTTTCAACTGCCCACATTATTACATTAATATTTATCGCGGTTAAAAGCGATATGAATTTTCAAAATAATGTCATAATTTGCCACAATTAAATGTCAAAATGTCATATTGTCGTAATTTTGACCGACCAAAATAGAATTTATTTATTCTGATTTTGTAATAACTTTGGCAATAATAATAAAACAGAGTTTCGTTATCAAGAAATTGTAAAATCTAAAAGGAAAAAAAGAGGAAGAGAAGAACTTCTAAAAAGTGTGACATTTCATGTGAGACTTTTCATGCAACAATCTAAAAATAATTTCGCTCAAGGACGTGGTAGGAAAAATGCACGCAACATATAACGTGATATTTGTAGCGATATAATCGAAATTGTATCATTTGTGCGAACTCAGTCAACGTCGTTTACGCGTACTTGTGCATGACTATGCGTATATAAAAAAGCATTAATCAATGTCAAAGAAAAGTAGCGTAAAAGTCAAAGGTCTCAATAAAGTAAATTCGATATATCTATCGCCGATCAAAAGCAAATTATCCTGAAAAAAAAGTGCCAGGTTTCAATATAAATCAAATTAGTATTAAGATTTAAGTAGAATGGAACATCGGATGCATTCAAATTGAACATTGAGAATAATCCACGCTGTTTCAATAACGCTCAATATATTCAAATACATTCCGTTAGAAACCATTCGAACGTTTTCATAGTTCATGTATAAAGTCAATCTTGAGCTCACTCCCTAGATTAAGCCTTAACCCAACCAAAATCTACTTAGAATCTACCTAAAATTCAGCCCGAATTCAACCCGAATCTAAAATTGGATTTAACTTAAACTAATTTTACATTAGAGCCAGAAGGAGGAAATCTGTCCGATTTATCCTCTATGTAAATATTTTATGTTTTTCTTTTGAATTGCAGTTTTGTAATCAGCGTCTTTTAGAAAAATATTCAAGTAGAAAAGATTTCTATCACTTTACATAATTTTTATCTTAAGGGAGTAAATATACCGATATTAAAAAAGTACATTTATATGCGTTTATTCCAATTCATCAAATTCTGCACTTAATATTTATATGTTGCTATTAATAATCGTCACGTATTATCAATCATGATAATAAGATGTAATTTATTCGACAAGAACTTATTCTCGTTCATTGAAGATAATTTATGTAACATCTGTACAAAGAATTTGCGCATTGTTCGCGAATATTTTTTACTTAAAGTTTGAACCTCGTTTATCATGTCAGCGACACGAGTAAGGAAAGAAACAAAAGTATCTGTTATCTCTTTCAAATTCGAAAGTCATGCGATCATCTATTATCTTCCGTTCTTGGTTAAAAGTACAGGGAGAAGAACTTTTGAGAAAGTGTATTAATAGAAATTACATGAAAAACAACAAAACACAAAAATTTTTGCAATCGCACAAATGAAATCATTTCTTATCTCAATCTATATTTTTTTTAGATGGATAAAAAGGATAAGATAAAAAAACAGTTATCAAGATAGTCACTTTAATAATTTTATAAAATTATTATTCTATACCAAGTAAAGATAAAGAATTCTAAAAATTAAAATTAAGACAAAAAAGCAAGATTCAGTAACTTGAGATACTAGAATTGGAACAAGAGAAATCTCGAATGCAAGGACTGAGCAAGAACTAGACTAGGGCACTTGAGCGGAGACAGAGTGTCAAAGAGAAAATTCCTAAGTAAAGGAGAGCAGGACAAGCGAAGACGCTTTTCATCAGTTTGCAGAGACTAGCCATTCCATCAGCGAAAACCACGGCGAAAAGCAGATGAAGAGAGACGTGAATTCGAGGAATCCCATCAACGAGCGTAGCAGCAACAGCAACAGCAGCTGTATAAATCGTTAGAGATAACAGTGTCTGTCACTGAGACACCAAATAGGAAAAGAGGGTGGCTATCTACTCCGCGACATCTGACTCCGAGTGATCTGGGTCGTCTTGCCATTCTCTATACATCGTTGTCAAAGACTACAATCGTAGGAAAGTCAGCATCGAGACAACGTCGGTCATTATGTCGTTCTTCGATCGATCCCCTGCGCGAATAAGCAATCGAGTCTTCGAGCTTTATGTGTAACGCGACTAACCCAATTGCAGCTCGATCCAGTGTTAGGTGTAATAAGAATGTCGGCCCTGTCAATTGTGAGATATCGATCGGTATAGAAAGAGAGGAAGATAAAAAGAAAGAGAGAGAGAGAGAGAGAGAGAGAGAGAGAGAGAGAGAGAAGAGAGTTAACAGAAATGTACGCGTGCATGGTTCATTATAACATAGTACATGGAAAATCAATTAAGCGCCTGTTAAAAAAAAAAGCTTGGTATTGTGAGGTCTATTAATCATCAATTGTGTGACAGGAAAGTCCTCCGAGTCCCTATATATCCGTATATACTTTATAAATTTGTAAATATTTTAATTCTCGTTTCGAAATATCACTATCTCTTCGATAATATTTTAATTATTTTAATAACTTTTAACTATTTAACTGCATATTCAATTTTTTTTATTATTCACAATAAAATAATATAATACAATATAAAATAATATAACATAGTGCAATAATTTTTGCAAAAAATTTTATGATTTTATAAAATAGAAATTCTACAAATAGATTTTATAATTTTTAAAAGGTAAGATTATGTAACGTTATCGTGTTGCACGCAACTCGCTTCTATGACGTGACGTCTCAATCGCAGCGACGAATACTTTCGCGAGTGCCGATATCTCTTTTAGCATCTCGGGATTTCCCCGATTATTTATAGCAACTATTGCAGACGCAGACGCCGACATCGACGACGACAACGACAA